AGCCCCGCCGGCTCCAGCTTCCCGCGCCCCGGCCGGGGCACCCGAGTCCAGCTGCCGGGCTGCGCGCTCTGCTGCTGCTGCTTGTCCTCCAGGGCGCGGCGACCACGACCGCGGGGCCGGGGCAGCCCGAGGACCCCCAGCAGTCCGCGGAGGCGAGCCTCCCGCGCGGGCTTCTGCCGCAGGCGGCGCGCGCGGCGCTGCACTTCTTCAACTTCCGCGCCGGCTCGCCGAGCGCGCTGCGGGTGCTGGCGGCCGTGCAGCAGGGCCGCGCGCGGGTGAGTGGGGCGGCGCGCCCGGCGGGGGGCGGGGGGGGGCGACCCGCCGAGGGACGCGAGTGTCCGGGGCGTGCAGGGCAGTCAGGGGGCAGAGTCCACAGACAACTGGCTGTTCTTCCTGGCACTTAGGAGGCCATACATTTTTCACTGCTAAGGACTCTTGACAACTCCCATAGGGAGAGTGAGAAATGCCCGGGGACACTGAGAAATGCGCCCCTGGGACAGCACTTAATTTCGTTTTAGGGTACCCAGAGTTGGCTCCTAAGGGGTCACCCCTGCCGACACAACCACGTGTGGCTCCCTCCAGCCTTGGGCCTGACTGTAGAACTCTGGCCCAGCACTCGTGCAAGACTGTGACACCTGCCTCTGCCTCTTGTAACTGTAGGCCACCTCACCCTACAAAGGTTTCTCGGATAGTGTGAATGAAATGTACACTTGTCTACCGCTGTGGGAACCTCGTTGCAGTAACTCTGCCTGACCCGAATGGGAGGCCTGGTGTCAGTGGATCAGGACTTAGTTTTCTTTATGTGCTGAAAGCGTGAGAACTTACACCCCATTGATTGCTAGCGGATATCAAAATATAGGTTGTAGGTATTGTTCTATGGGTGTAAAGGTTTATGGTTTGCTTCTTCAAATAGTACAGAAGTGCTAGCTCTCTACTATCATCAAAGCAACAGTGGCTCCTTCTAGCAACCCCCAAATATTCCACAAAGCCTGCAGCCTGCGGGCCGGGAAGAATGTAAAACTGAGTATGGGATGTAAACAGTGAAGTTCAGAGTGCCAGGAAGGATTTGTCACTTAAGACTCCCCTAGTGCTGGTATCTGACATGCTGGAAAAGCCCTCTGGAAGCCCACCCTTGTTTGGCTCTTACTCCTGCACCCAACAGGGTGCACTTCTGCCTGCACCCAACAGGGCTAAATTTGTTGAAAGGTTAAATTGTTGTCAGGCAAAGGTAAACTCTTCTCATCAACTGTTTTCAGGCATCCTTGCCATCTCAGCCCAACAGAGTGGGGGAACAGTTTGCAAACTTTCCATCAACGTGTGGGGACACACACAGCTTCCTGCAGAGCCTACCCAGGCCCAGGATGTGCTTTCTGGGTCTCCACAGGAGATCCCTACAGAGAAGCAAGCCCACTTTCTAAAGTGTGCTAGTGTGCTGGCAATATAGCTCAGCAGCATGGTGCCAGCCCAGCAATCATGAGGTCCTGAGTTTGATTCCCGGTACCAAAAAGAAATAAAGTATACTAGTGTTCACATTCCAGGGTTTTTTTTTCTTTCTAAGACCACTTTTAAAAGAAAAATAATAAGATTCCTGGCATTTTCAGACACTTAGTCACTCCCTTGGGAGAAATTTTGAAACAACTGGCATCTTTTACACACACACACACACACACACACACCAAACTAGCTCTCAAAACCTGAGTTCAGTAAATTCATTCTCTTTCATTTACACAAAGATTGTTTTGATCTGTAATAGTATAATCTTCTTAGATGTTGAAAGATCTTCTCTTACATAAAATAGGAAATAAATGAATTAATTGGGAAAGTATGCATGAGAGGGAGGAGTGGATAAGTAGCATAATGCTGGACATGGACCCTGAGAAATGATAATTTCCTGTTGACATCTGGTTTACCTCTACATTTCTTCCCTGATTTTATAAGTTATGTGGTTATGATAGCCATGGAAAAAATGGTTAGCGACCAGAAGCTTGTGGACCAGAGGAATTCCAGTTTTTCCCAGGAATTGAAATTGTTTTTCCACCATTCCATTGCCTTCTCCAAATCTCATCACTAAAGAAAAGCCCACCTCCAAGAATGATCAGCCAGCCTGGTGTAGGGTATGTGTTAAATTTGCCGAGTGCATGCCATGGTCCTGGGGGAGTGGAGAGAAGGGTGATTGGCTAGGAGTGAGGGCTTATGCCCACTGGGGATCTTCCCTGGGCTTTCTGGAATAGGGGGAAGAGCTGTGGGGTATTGTGGGGAGCCTCAGTGCAGGTCTCTTCTTTGCCTCCAGTGAATCCTACAACCTAATAAATCTTTCTGGCCTTTTCCCCATGTGGAATAGAATCTTGTTCAGTCAACAATATGTGGTTTTAGAGTTGGAGAAGATACACGCACCAATTGCAGAGAAAGGTGCGTTACCATCACACTTCCCGAGGGGCAGCCTATTCACCTACTATTTCTTGAGCACCTACTTTGCGTTAAGCTCTAGGTTAGATCTTGTGCCCCTCATTCAGGCTTGAGGTGGGAACATTCAGGAAGGTTTTTTGAGATTCACTTGGTTTGAAGCCCACAGCTACCTGGATAGCGTCACAACAAAGGAACAGGCAGAAAGAAAAATGGAAAGGGGCTTTCTTATCTTTGAGGACAGTGAGAGAATCTGGGAAAGATAAGGGAATCTGTGAGTTGGAACAAAGGGAGGCTGAGGTTTTATTGCCTTTTGCCAGGGTGGAGTTTGAGGGGGGTGTGTAGATACACCTGAGAAGCTGAATAGGGTCTTCCCTGAGGCAGTGGGAAAGGTGAAAGGAAATTGCACTTGGGGCTGAGTTGGAGAAGAAGTGGGGAGGTGGCCTTGGGGAAGATAAGCTGTTGTGTTAGGGGCTAAAGCCATATTAGATGACCAGCATAATGATTCAACTAGGGCCAGAAGGTATCAGGGAAAGATTACAGAAGAGGCCTGCATGGAGCTCCTAGGGCTGAAGCTGAAGCAGTGTCCGGCAGCCAAGGCACTGGAAAGAAGGAGAAGCTGGCAGGAGCAGCAACTCAGGCTTGCTCTCTAGCCAGTCCGTGTATTGATAGGATGCTTAGTTGCAAAACAATGTCTGCCATTCATCCATGAAGACCCTGGGGGAGGGGCCGGTGGCTGGTGGGTGAGAGTTTAGGGTCCTCCCCATTCCAGGGGTCACCACTTTCCTTTGTAAGACAAGAGGCTGGGCTATGGCTTTTAAAACTAAAGGTCTAATATTGAGTAATGGAGTCAATTTAGTGGTGTCTTGTTTCATTTTAGGTGCTGGAGCTTTAACTCAGAGCCTCAAATAAGCTAGAAACATGCTCTGCCACTGAGCTATGACCCTCCAGCCCTGTTTAATTATTTTTTAATGAAATTTTTCAGAATATAAATCATGAGTGTGCTTCAGAAGCAAGGGCAAGCAATGTCTCAAAATGTGTTTCAAGTATGTGCATAAAGGAAATTGTTTTTCCTTTATGAAAAGGATGAACTCAGGTCTTGATGTGGGTTGCAGCTTTAAAAAGTTTTGAAAACCAGTGGGTCAAATGATTTTAAGACCATTTCTAGTTCAGAAATTCCTTCATTCTGCCATTTCTTGGCTCTGCAAAAGTCCTCATTTTAGAAACACTGTTGTCCTCTGGTGGTGAATGGCGGTAGTAGTTGTGGTGCATAAGTTTTGGATTCAGAAAGTGCTCGCTGAAGGGGAGTAGCTTGTTTTGTTTGGTCTCCTGATGGTAGGGGGAGATCTCAGAGCTTGTGTTCCTTTGTTACCCTGGCCGGATCTCTATCCTAGCCCTACATTACCCTTCTGTGACCAATAAGGCTTCCTTTTCTGGCATCACAATGCATGGATTCAGAACCATGGTGAAGAGGTAGGACATGTGGGTGGGGTGGTGCTGGAATTTGTGTGCATTGTGCAGTGTCCCAGATCAGCCCTGAGGTTCCCCCATCCCAGCTGCTCCCAGAGTCTCACTGACATTTAGAGATTGGCTGAAATCTTTGTGCACTCATGAAAATGTCATGAGAATGTCAGCCCATGTAGGAGGCAGCTGATGTTTGTCGATTGGTCACTTAAAGTGAACACAAGGCAGGGGATTTAGCTTCGTGGCACAGTGCCTCCGTAAGAATGAGTTCCTGAGTTCTAGTACCCCTGCCCCCAAGTGAACACCTTCTGACCAGTCCAGAGCCAGTAGTAAGAACATGTCCACATTTGATTGCTTACATGTTCCACTTTGGTTTGCTTACAGTGCTGTGAGCACATGTGAAGAATATGACACATGACCCTCTTTTTTTTTCCCCCTGTATTTTAGGGAAGGATCAGGGTGTTCAGGGTCTCACTGCTACATCGGACTCGTAGGGATCCGCCTGTTCACAGCCTCCCAAGCGCTGGGATTACAGGCGTCCCCACCATGCCCAGCCTCAATTGCTGTCGCAGTCTTCCAGGGGCGGGGCTGGCACAGCAGGACCAGGGATCCAACCCCTGTGCCTGCCTAAACAGGCGCTTTAATCTGCAGAGTTATTTGGCCAGCCGACCCTCTTAATTTTACCTTTTGTCTCTTTTTTCCGCAGTCTTCACTCAGCTTCACATCATTTCACAAGGGCTTTAAACACCTGACTTTATCAACTTCTTCGAAAGCACTAAACTTGGCTTTTTGTTGGCTTCACATCTTCGCACGCACTTTCAGCAGTTTATACAATTCATCCCGGAGTCAGGGAAGAAGCACATGCGGGTGGGATTTTCCTGAGCGGCAGGCTGCCCGGTGCGGTGCGGTGCAGTGCGGTGCCGGGGAGGAGGCAGGAGGCCATGGACCTGATGGGCCTGAGGGGAAGCTGGACTTGTCTTTGGGCCACACAGCAGCTAGGAGAGCAGCCACTCACGCCGAGAAACATTATCACTCTTCCAGCCATGAAGTGCTGTAATACAGTGTCCTCTCATTATCGCTCCTCTTGAGGTCTTCTCTCCATTATTGTCAATAATTTAGAGCATCATTCAGAAGAGGGAAGCAATGCATTATGCAGCCCAGGGAAGCCAAAGTGGGAGCACTGCCGAGGCTGCAGTGCACACCCAGGAGAAAAGCTAAGCGAGAGAACAACCTTTTCCCCTGCATGAGGAGAGCGCCTAAGTGCTCTTAGTCATCCGCGGGAGCAGGAGAGAGTGGAGATTTTCCAAGAGGAATTCTGCCTCTGCTGACAGACAGCAGGGGTGCCCCTCCCTCCTTCCCAGTCCTGAGAAGCCGTGCTGAGACTTGGGGCGGCCACAGGCTCCTTCCT